AGGCAAAGATTTTTAAAAAATACTTCTTATACCCGATACTGCCGTGTGTCTTCAATAGGATGCTTACCAAAGCTCTACTTCGTCTCTTTTGCTCTCTTCTTAGCCCGTTTCTAAATAGGAAAATAATGAAAATTAATACGAGTTATATAAATATATTGGGCATACTCCTCATGATCTTTTAGAAGATGCAGTAAATGTTCTTCTGTTCTCTTCATTAGTTGCCGCATTGTAGTGTCCTCCAATTCCAATTTCCAATTCATCACGATCTTTTAATATAATTATAGAATCTTCTCTTCTCTTTCTTTATATATAATTTTTATCCCTCTGTATTTACAAAAAATTGGTCAATAAAATTGGTTCCTTAATTTTTGCATTTTATTTCACTGCCTCTGAGCACCCTTCACATCAAGGCTCAATACCATACTGAAATGCTGCAGTAAAAAACATTTTACCCCTTCAACAACCCTTCTAAAAAATGAGCTCCGCTGCAACCCTTTCACTGCCCATGGAAAGAACTTTGCATGAAAATTCCACAAAATGGAACATTTTTTTTAGAACATTTCCAACCCCATGGTACATATAGGTTGACTATACCAAACGCCAGATGGCGCTTTAGTGTGTAGGAATAGTCGTGCGCATTACTAAGATTTTGTGTAGATTCATTAAGCTTGAATAATTTATATAATTAATACCCCGCTAGGCGCAGACACAGCTGGCTGCTGCGTTTAATAAAATATTTTAAATAATTCTGTAATCTAAATGCAGTCATCGTCAGCAACAGCAGCCGCAGCCGCCGCAGCCGCCGCAGCAGCAGCAACAACATGCATCAACTCCGCTGTGACGAACAGGATGCGAGCTGAAAGAAATTCTAAATACCAAAGAGCTGGCCAGCATACGAGTTGGCAATGGCAATGGCAGAGCCTGGTCGGCACAAATCACAAATTGTCACGTTAATAGTTGCTCATCATTATGATGCTGATGATGATCATTAACAGATGTGGTCGCATCCGTATAAATGCAATGTAAATTTTTTTGTGCGCGCCATTGCATATGTCAAGACAAGCAGACGAAGAGTTGCAGCTCGTCATTGGCATTGGTAGAATCTCCAGCTCCAAGTTGGAGCCCCGCTTAGCCCCTTTCCCATGCCGCCACTGATAATTTATGAGACGCCTTATTAACATCAGGCATCAGCCAGGCATTAGGGGCAGCATTCAACTTGGCTTTCTTGGAAAGGCTTTGCGGATGCATCTCCGCTTTTTGCTTTGTTGTTTTTTTCATTTATTCGGTTTTTTTTCTTCTTTTCAAATGCAATTCCAACTCGAATTTTCATGTAATTTCTGCTCTTTTAATTTGTACATTTTATTGTAATGCTCATCATAATTGATGGGCCTCTCAAATGCAATCTAAATGTATCTGCCGCTTGCCTGGCGCATCCGTCAGATGCATCTCGCAGTTAGCCTCACATGCAAATCGCAGCCTTCATTCTATGCAAATCGTTGGGGCAACTTGCCTCAAGTCGCAAGTGCCACATTTGGTTGGCCCGTTCCCGCTGGGGGAATTTGCATAAGTATGTTCGCCAAGTTTCAATTAAATGCCAGCCCAGCCGAGTTGTTAGCGCATTCCAAATGTTAATTCTCAAGTGCATTTGACTATAATTCAATACAAAAGCAAAGATGGCAAGGAAAATCTTATATAGGAGACGCTTGAATGCGCTAACTTAATGGGAAATTAAAAAAAGTAAATAAAAATATTTTAAATATTTTAAAAGTATACTGAAAATATAACAGATCAGACATCTGCATATATATATATATGTATAAATATATATACCAGATGAATTACAACCTATAAACCTACGGCACCAACAATCATTAACACCATCATTGGTTTATCATTTGTATAATTGACTTAGTTACCTGCATTTACGACCTATAAAAATGATAGGATCTAGCAGAGCCTTCAAAACAATTAACATAATATGATATTTCGCCTGCTTTCTAGCTTTCCATTAAAAGTCTTTTAACTACTTTTCTCCATATAGAAAAATCAGATTTCAAATCAAAAATCTGCTTGGTAATTTGTCAAAAAACTTTGTATTTTCTTTAAAATTATTCATTTAACTACTTTTTATCCTTTTACAATATCGATCGATATCATATGAGCTGCAAAATATTTAAAATTAAAAAAAAATGATAATTTTGCATACTGTTAAGATACTTCAATAACTGGACTTATCAAACAAAATTTTTAAAATATTGACTTTAATCAGAGCAGCTCTTCTGTGAATTTTTAAGTGTGGATAATATTCATTTAAAGCGTTAATTTCTTAAACAACATCGGCTAAGTATAAATTAACTTTTTTCATATATTTTTTAGTCTTATATATCTTATATATACTTATATATCTTCATAAATATTATATAATCATAATTTTTCATTAAATATATCCAAGTATATCTATTTAAATATCTTATTCGGATCACAATGGGCTCAAACTAAACAGCCTAGTGCTTATACCCCAGAACATAGCACAACAACATTCACATTCACATTCTCATTTATTTAACAAGCGTTTGTATAATGCATAACAATCCTCAACAATCAGTTCAATGACAAAGTCGAACAAATATGTCGGTTTAATTTTGTATTTATTTTTTTCCGATTATTTTTTGCTTGTATTTCGATGCGAGAATGGAAATTGTTTGCATAAATTTTGAGCTGGCAGCCGTAAATGTGCATAAACAATTAAGACAATTGTTATTAAGGAGAGCGACGCGAGAGGCTAATTATAATTATAATTGGCTGGCGAGAGCCTTGAGATGCTTGGCGCTGCCCGTCTAGATGGGCTGGCTTAAAAGGATTTCTGGCGAAGACAAGCCAAGGACAATTGGCTGCATGATTTTTCATAATTCTACTCTGAAATTAGCCCTGGCGAATCCATCGATAAATTAGCAGTCTTTCACGATCGCGATGGCCACTCAGAAATTACTGTATTTAAAAATCTTTAATAAGCGCAAAATATGGCAATACAGCACTCGCGATCCACTTTCCGATTATGCACTTGCTGTTCGAGTGGAAGGGGCGTGGCTGCTCTCTGCAATCTTTAAAAGCGCCGCCATCAACAGCCCATCAGCACAGCCTGTCTATCTATCTGACCTCCCTCTCTTACAGTAGCTCCAGCCGCATATTTAAATGATCGATCGAGTCGCGACTCATCTCGGCTTTAAGGCATTCGCATTTACATCATAATCTCGCTTTTGTTTCCATATTGAGTGATTCATTGTGGCTGACACAGCAAAGTTATCTTAAAATGTGTTATATGAAACTAGATTTTTTGTTAAGTTTATGTTAAATCTTCAATTAAAATATTTAAATAAATGATAAAAATGAAATATTGTATGATATGCAAAGGAAATCATACATGAATACAAAATATTGTTTTATATTACAATATTATTTTAAATTTATAACTCTATAAACACAATAAATATATATTTGTTTTTCTTAGAATTATCCTAAATTTTGCAAATTCCGTAACTTGTGCAGCTAACCCAAATATTTGTGCAATTGAAACAAACAAGCCAAATGGCTTATATTATTTGCCAAGTATTTATGACACCTCCAAAAAGAGAACTTTGAAATGATTTTTTTTTCCACGAGAATTGTAAATTGAGAATGACATTATTAAAGCGACGAAGCAAATGTGAGTAACTAACCTCGTGATTTCTATATAATTATGCAGATTTCGAATGGCAATTATTGTTAAGTTAATAAGCCGCAGAAAACTTGGCAAATTATTCAAAAGCGAAATACAAAAAATTGTTTTAAAGTCGAGTTACAGCTGCACTCGAAATGACACAGAAGCTGGCGACAAGGCGACAACACGATTGTTGTTGTTGTTGTTGTTGTTGTTATTGTAGCCTCGATGCAGGCAGCTGTCAGTCATTCAGTCACTCTGTCAGTTAGTCAGTCAGTCAGTCATGCTTGATGCTGTTGACCAAATCGTGTAAAAAACCGCAAAACGCGTCGCCAAAAACTTGCCGCAGCTGATGCCACATGCCAGTTGCACAGATGCAAGTAGCAGAGATACCACTCCAAGTCCCCGCACCTACCACCTTCCACCTTCCACCGGCCTTTTTGTCGCCCCTCCTCTCCAATCAATCGTTCAGTCAATCGTTTACGCTTTTTGTGACACAATCTGAAGGCAGATTTCTTGATGTCAACTGCCTCACCTGAACGTCAGTTGATTTGTTTCCCTCCCCAAAGTGGAAAATGTAAAATTATACAAAATATATATATACATACAATATATATATATATATATATATATATATATATAATGTTTGTTGTTGTAGCTGTTGCTTTTAATGAGGCAATCGCTAAATTGTATTTTGTGTTTTGCATTTTGATTGACAGCGCTGGAGATTGTTGCAGTCGAACAAGCTGCATGCATATTTGGCAAACGCGTTAATGAGCGTGTGGAAAATTCAATTTTAAAAAGTAAATTTTAAACAGGCTGAAAAACATTAGTAACATATATTATGAAGAAAAAAATAAATAAATAAAATAAGAAAATAAATAGATAAATAGATAAATTAAAGGAGCAATTAAATATATACTAAAAAATGGATATAAATATATTTTTTAATGTTAGAAAAATTAAAAGAGATAAATAAACAGAATAATCAAACAAAAAAATTTATAAAATTAAAAAAATATATTTTATAAAGTTAAAAAAAGTGAATAGACAAATCAAAAACAAAAATCAAATGAATAATTAAATAAAAAAATGTATATTTGTAAATAAATATATATTATAATGTTAAAAAATATTGAAAATATATATAATAACAATAATCAAATATTTATTTTAAAAATTTTAAAATTTTAAAAATTATATATATTTCACAGGTGATTCATTTTTCTATGTTATCGAATCTCTAAGCTAGGAATCCTATGAAAAAGCTGTGTAGCTGACGACAGCTCAATTTTTATTTCAGCAAACATCATCTGGCAACGCCCGAAATGCAGTGTGATAGGTGGCAACACCGTGTGCTAAAAATGAAGCTCCCTTCACTAGGCTAGTGACACTAGCTGAGTATGCACTAAAAAACAGCTATGAAAGGGGTAAGAAAATTTCCTAGTGCGACGGCAGGGGTAACAGGGTTGCCCTCTAAGCATCAACTCTTTTTTAACACTCGCATTAATTTTGCTGCTTTGCCCAAAGGGTTGTTCCTTGCAGAACTGTTATTCTAACATCCCTAAAAAACGTTTATTTTTACCTTCCAGTCTGTCAGCTCGAATACATATTGTGCGCATATTCAAATTTTGTTTTAAATTGGAAGCCATTCCAATGCCCTGCGAACTCTATAAAAGCGGGGGATGTCTGTGGCAAATGCCTCAAACGGTTTTCGACTGCGTTCTGATTCGGTTCTCGCTCAAAGGAAAAATATTTGCATACACCAAGGATCTATTATGGATTACGCTGAAATTGGATTACACACAACAGTTTCGGATATTATTTTTAATAAACATCTCTATGGATCTATTGGATTATTGGCTAGATGAAAGATATATGGATAGATATTAAATAATATATTATAAATAAAAAGCACAGTTGAGGGAAATGTTAGCTTAGAAGTTGAGTTGAAAGTGTTCCAGCATAGAATTCCTAGTCTAGACAAATTTTATTCTAATAGTCTTCCCAAAGACTACATATTTATAATATATTATTCAATAATATTTCCATTAAGAAAAAATATGAAAGGTTGATAAATTCCAGGAATAATTAAACCGCAATTGTGTTTTTGTAAACAGAAAACTATGAATTAAATGTAAGAAAATGTTGAGAGTTGGCATGAGGAAGGGCGCTTTTAGCATGTTGTACGATTGCTTGGCATATATAATTGAAAGGCTTCTAATGCCAATGTTCTCTACTGTGTTGATATTTATCTGCACTTATTAGCGGTAATTGGTGCAGCAGCAAAATTTAATAGCCCACAGCAGTAGCAGCAGTGGCGGCAGCAGAAGTAGAAGCAGGAGACGAGGGCAGGAGGAGGAAACTCGTAAAATGCAAAAGGTGCTGCTTCGGTTGTGGCTCGTTGGCGGGCCTAAGCAAATAGTAGAAGTGGAAAGACATGGGTAGAGCAGAAATTTCTCATCTACGATTTGCGTGTCAATTTTCAAAAGCGAAATGCAACTGCAACTGCAACTGCGAAGTGCAACTGTTTATGCATTTTGTGCAGGCGAGTGCAACAAATTTAATTGTAGTGATAGCTGCCTGCAAATCCGACATGCATTGGCAGTAAAAACTGAAACTAAAAAAAAAATGCATTTAAAGTCTAAGTGGCAATAAAAAACACAAGCATAGCACCGAAAATTCAGCCGAGCAATGATATCTCCTATATAATATAAATATATATACATATATATAGAAATACATATATATGTATATGTATATAGCGTGTTGCTAATTAAGCTCATTTGGCAGCGCGTTCTTTGTGCAACAGGGAAATAAAGTCGTTAACAGCCAGCAGCATAAAAGCCATAAAAATAATAATAACAACAAATATAAGTAAAGCAAATGGAATCCAAAATGCAATGCAAAACTTGAGCAGCTGCAATTTTTTATTTCAGATTTTATTTATGATTACCTTATGGCTTTTCTTTAAATTCATTTCTATATCTTTCTTTATTTTCTTTTATTTTTTAAGCAATTTGTTGCTTTTCAACATAACTCATAATTAAAAAAAAAAAAATAATTGAAAACAATCATAAAAGTTGAAAATACCCTGTATTCAGTTAAAAGCAAACCAAACCAGACATAAAACCTATATACACATTTCGATTTCGTGAATGAGTTTAAAAAAATATTCACAAACTCTTAAATTTTTATTTTTCTAACATTAGTAATCTAAATAACGATTTTAATCTAGAAACTTATTCTTTAAGTTCGTCGCCGTTATGCTACCCTTCTCTAATGCCAATAGCTCTTTACAGGGTATTCAACATATTTACACTAACATAGCTAACACGCGGCTCATTTTGGAGTCTCGTGTGTTGTTGTTTATGTGTGTTTTGATTATTTATTTCGCGTTCGTTTCTTGAGTCTTTTGTTGTGCCATATGCAGCAGACACCAGGCAGGAAAACCAAAAACAACAACAACTAATTCTGTTGATTTATTTGCGGCAATCACATAATTTGGCCATTCATAATCCGTGGGCAACTGGCTACCAAATGCACCAGCTACAAAATTATATTCATGAAGAAAAATCTGCAATTATGATAGGAAATTTGTAGATAAAGAAATAACTTAAATCTGTAAATGAGGAATATAATCGTGATTTATAAATATACATATATATGTGTATGTATATATGGAGTGTTAAGACATGATCTATGCTTAAAGGAAGTCTTGCAGTACTCTATATGATCAATCAAATGTCTTTCAAAATTTCAAGAAAAAAAAAAAAGAAAGCAACGCTCTAATAAAAAAAATTACAATAGACTTGAGTTACAAAAACAATTGTGCATAAAAATAAAAAATATATGTTTGAAAAACTTGAAGAAGATTTACAATGAATAATAATAGTGAATACATCAAATTTATAATATTCGTCAAACAAAGCAAAAACATGAAAATTTAATTTTATTAAAATAAATTCGTTTTTATAAATATTTTAAATATTAACATAAAGCAAAGCAGAAGACCTGAAAATTATATATATTTAAGCCCTGCTTAAGCTAACCAGTACTTGTGATTATTAAACATGCAAAAGAGTTCACTCGCAAATGTTCTGCGCCTGATTAAGGTTCACTCAAATGCCACGCCCCTGTGGGCCGGTGCCAACCCTAGCAAATTGCAGGTCGCGTAAATGAGTGTTGAACATGCGGCTTAGGCTGGCATCTCTAGATGCAACAAGAAATTGCCATGAATAGTGAAATGCCCGTTGCCAATTTCAATGCATAGCTAAATTGTGGCAACGGGCTGCGGCTGCTGCTACAGTGTGCTCTCATTGTTGACGAACAATGGGAAAACGGGGCATGCAACATGCCATTAGACCGCCCAAGATACGTATCTCGTCAGAAATGATGGAATAAGACATCAAATTATGCCAGAAAATAAATTGACAGCAATTGCAGTTCAAGCAGATGTGATATGACCCTGTCTATAAGAACCATGCAAATCTCCCAGATGCACGCGACTCAAGCGGAACTTGTATTAAAAAAACAAAAATTCCTTATGTATGCTAAGTCAGCAACATGCTTCAAGTTTACACTTCAGAGGCTAGACCACGCCCATGCAATGCTATTTTGCATATTATGTTGCCTTAACATGAATTCGAGTCATGTTAATCTCCCATAAAGGCTGCTAATCCAACGACTTTTGCCTGCTGCACAAAATGTTTTAGCTAATAAACACATTAAAACTCAATTTGTTTTTTTTATAAAATTCATTAAAAAATGCAACAAGAACAGCGAGAGGTAGCAGGAGGGGTGTAACGAACAGCAGACGAAGCAGTAGCACACGAGCTTTTGCAATTTGCTATTTTTGCTATTAAACTGCGGCGAACATATGATTAACTCGCATAATAATAGGCCAGCGGCATAATTTAATAAATTTCTAGTTAAGAATAGTTGGCTCTATGACTATAAACAGTTCCCCACATCTAAAGTGCCCAGGCCTAGTCAGGCCTCCCCATTGATTCCGCTTCGCCTGGCCTCACATTCGTCTAGCACTAGTTTTAAGCCAAAGTTGGATTATAATTTTCTCAGATTTTAGTCGAGGCTGGGGCGTACATTAATGAAATAGTAATATATTTATATACATATAGAGCTATTCAGATATTTTGCATAGTGCTGGAACTCATTGCAGTGGAATAGAAATTTCCCTAATTTAGGCGTGTTTCATAAAGAACCGAATGCTATTCAATTCTTATTATGCGTTGCTAAGACTTAATATATATGTATTTTATAATTAAAGAGTCTTATGTCAAAGGAATATATGTTTATGTTTATTTAATTGACATAAACATAAATTCATTTTTATAAAATAAATAAATGTATAAAAATATTTAATTAAATATATTACAATTAAATTATTTTTATTTTAATTTTATTTTTGTACTTATTTATTTACCTATTTATTTATACAAAAAAAATGTTTTTATTTTAGTAATACTAAATTTATTTCACTTTTTGAAATTACGATTATCTTACAATTTATATATATATATATATATAAAATAAAATAAAATAAAATAAAAACAAAATAATTTACCTGGTGAATCGATTATATTAATGTAGGACTAAAGCTCAACATATACTACGGGCTGTCCATATTCGACAGACTTTGGCAACCCTTTGACGGAGACGGGCACAGTACGTATCTAATTAAATATATCACACAGAGTTTAACGACTTAAAGCAATATATATTCCATTGAATATCTTATCAAATCTTTCATCGCCTTTGCTTAAAATAAAATAATTATAAAATATTTACCAGAGCTTATGCATATCTCATTTAACTCCTCTTAAGAAGCACTTCTACACACACACACACACACATATTCACTTATCATTAACTTTATGCATGCCACACATAGTGCACCCGCACTTTATAGTATATAGACGCGAGACTCTTCATGTATTCTAAGATCTGCATTAACATACAGAGCTCGAAATATATTCTACTACCCGTAAATCTAATTTCCTCGTCTGAGTAGATGCCATTAACATGCGTTCAGTGCATAAATTTGTGCTACCCATTCGATGTACTACAGATGGATGTATGTATATGTGCATGCATATACATGTACATGTATATTCGTATCGCACTCAAATGCAATTAAAAGATAAGTCAGATCCTGTGCGGCGAGGGAGACTCGAGCTGTGGTTTCGTGTGGCGCTGGTCATGCAAATTTATTAAAGTGTGAAATATTGCAAATGCATGCAGACAGCCAGCAGGTGGTGGCGGTGGCAGCTGTTGCAGTTGATGCCCAGCTGGATAGGCGGGCAGTTGCCGGAAAGTGGTGCAGTAGCCCACCACCGATGTGGCACCCGGTCTATGCAGACCAATAAATTAACACTCCATTTTTCTGCAGAAAAAAAAAACCTGGGCTCGCATGCAAAGGCGATGCGACTGGCTCGCCTCGATCTCCACATGATTTTCCACCTTCTGAGACAATTAGCTATGCATAAATATATTTCATTTTTGCTGCAAGCTTCGAGCTAGCTCACGTTTTGCATGGAGCACGCCATGAAAAGTCGACTTGGCTGTGCATTTATAAAAAATATTTATATATATTTATATATATAACTATATGCTCTTGCATTTTATTCACTGTGTAACTAAAACCAAAAATGTAAATAAATAAGTAGAGTTAATTTTAGTAAGAAATATGATGTTTTAATAAGATAAAAAATGATTAATAAATAAGAATAAGTACCTCATAAAATTTAAACAAATGCCTATGTTCAATGTTTATATTTATTTTTTATTTAAAAATATTTTTTTCGCGAATTTTTATCTTATTTAATGTGTTATGATATATTAGAAATTTGTGTAAATATTTTTTTTTAACTCAAATTTTTTTTTATTTTATTTTATTATTATTATTTTTTTTTAATTAATTTTTATACTTTAAAATAAATCACGTTTTCTTCAACTTTCCAAAAATGAAGTGAGAAACATGAAAAACAAAATTCAAAAAAATCTGAAATCGAGAAAATTCAAAATTCTGGAAGGATTTTGAATAAGTATAATCAAATACTTGCTATATTTACTCATTAGTTGATGGGAATAATTCAGAAAAATATTTTACTTACACATATTTTATATGAGAATGCAAAAAATGTACTCTATAAAGTAGACAAAAAACTATGCTATGCGATATGCTTATTTAACAATAAAAATGATTCATTAAATCGTTTCAAATTCTATTTATCTATTTTTGTCTTCCTTTATCTATTTTTGTCTTCCTACACAAACCGCCAAAGTCAAAGTTGGTTGAAATGAATTTTATAATACTTTCTTGATTCTTCTATAAGATTATCTAAAAATACTTTACAATGGTTTTCTTGCAGTCTTATATCATATCCCAAACTATTGTTGCATTGTCTAGCCAGCAGACTTTACTCCCAATATCCCCTACTCTCTCTCGCTCTCACTGCCCCACAAGGGGAAAGCATGGAGGAAGAGTCGCATCGACATAATCGACAGATTGAGTGAAGCTTCCGCAACTCTTCGTTGGGGCTTATTCGATTTGCTTGCCCGTTGACAAAGGATACGACGAGACAGACAATACGCATTAGCATTAGACATATGTCCAACTGTTTGCCCGACTCTCTGTCTCTCTTTCTCTCTCTCTCTATCTGTCCGTTTGTCTGTCTGTCAGTCAGTTTCGACGATTTCTATTACAATCCCCTGGCATGGAGTACCGTAAATAATAAAAGAAATCGTCTTAGGCACGCATTTCAGCATTGCCTGATGGACGAAGGACACAACAGGACATCACTTTGAATATAAAGCAAGCGAATAAAACACACTCATACACGCACACACACGCACAACATCAATGGACGTGTGGCATAAAAAACACTCAAGGAGCTG